AAGCAACCTTGCCTGACACCGATTTTTACCTCGAACGTGTCAGTAAGCTGTCCTCCATGAACAATTTTTCAGTTTAATCCATCATAGGAATTCCGTATAAATTAAGTGTATCAGTACCAATTTTATCTACAATAAAAGCCTTTTATGAAAACTACTAATAAATAATAACTGCCAAATTATCTTGGTTAACTTTCTCCTCCAATTACTGCTAATAAAAAGTGGGACTGTGTCTGAGATATTGGGTTCTCTTCTGTGAATTGAATGGTTTGATTATGAACCTTCCAGTTGTTAATCCTCCTCCTTATTAGCTGATAAATTTGATCCCATCCTCGTCGCCAGTTGTTATAACGTATGAAATTTACACCTCTTAATATATATATATATATCCAATGATACAGGAAATACGTACGAGCAGTCTTGGGTGCAATCCGATTCTTCCTATCTGCCTAGCCCAGCCGTTAAGTTCAAATACAGCCTCGGCAATATGAATCATTATTTACAAACATACTGAGTTTTTATACAAACCAAAGTAATCAATAACTGATTATAACTCAAGAATCGTATAATAATAGTTCAAAGATCAAAATAAAGCTGATGATAAGAGAAACACGAATATGAATAGTTTAGTTACGTAACAATTGTACAATAGGAAATAGGCATAATACATTGGTCGATAAATAGTCCTTAGAGTTACCATTCATAATTCACCAGGGGATATAACATTTAGATATATCTATTGCCTTATGCTTGGCTTAGTGTGTCAAGCTTCTAAAAATTATCGGTTGTCTATGTTTCTTTTGTCTAACCTTTCGATTTTTCCCCCCGTTCAAACTCACACCCATAGTCATCAATATTCATTGATATAAGCGAAGCTATATCCTTGGTGTTTATCAGATAATTGATGTTTAATTAGGCATAAATGGAGAGGGTTACCGTTTTGTCATTTGAATTCTTGCTTTATGTAAGTGATGCCTGATTATGTGACTCACTTGTTTGCCAAGCACAAATTCGTGCATTGCTTTCGTCCACTTTCTTATGTGTTAAAGGTAGTGCTGCTACATGGCTGCCCAAACCAATGTAGGTTGAGCTGGTCTCAAATCTGCGACCTAGTTTCCGAAAATCAGACGCTTTATTCACTAACCCATTGGTCCACTAAACTGTAACTACAGATCTACAGACCTGGTCATTTTATTTGTGTAGTAGTTATAATATATAAAAAATCTTTTCTGAATTTCATGTCTATTTATTATGTTTTAAGTTTTTTACACCGTTGCACCTTCCTATGTGTCACGTGTTAACAATCCATAAACTCTTTCAATTTCCTCCCTGTTTTCTCATTGATCGTTTTTGATTGATTTTCATTCTTTAAATGCTTCTTATTAAATTTCTATGATCTCAAACCATAGTTAGTTTTTTCTTTGTTATGTAAGTTAAAATAAGTTAGTATTAGAAATGAAGAATATTGCTTTACACTTAACTGTTAATATAAGTATCATAAAAGAGATTACTTATAGATTAGAGTACAAAATATTGATTATGGACCTGTTCAGAACAATAATGATAATGATAACATTTCAGTAACTGTTATGTTAGTAACCATCCAAGTAATAATGACACGACAAATGATACATTTCAACATATTTAGTAATTTAGAAAAGATGTATAACACTTTAAAGTGAAGTATATGTAAATAAGCCCCATTTTAATACATGTGTTAGAGAAAACGAAAAAAATGATGATCAGGGGGGCAGAAATGGAATTGTGAGAATTGATTAGTTTTTATTCGTAAAATATTTCATCATTACTAGTTGATTAAGGTGAAAGTATTCAAATTATGTTTTTTTGATAGTTGTTACTGATTCGAGTACTTTACTCAGATTTCACTGTTTAAACAACATCTTGAATGTATTTAGCGACTAAGAAATAATACAAACCTTGTTATACAAACGAACTGGATAAGAGATAAAAGAATTAATTTTGGCAGATTAAAGATATATTGACAAAATGTATTCAATGTTTTATGTGATAGTTTTCAAAACTTACTGTGGTAGCTGACCAATGTGGTGTTCATTGGAATCATGAAGTGATCTAAATTAGACCGCCATTGATAACCTGGTAGTATAGAAAAACCGTTTTTTTCTAGTATGGGACCCTGCAGTTCGGATCCACGATACCACATGTGGAGATCAGAAAGCTTTTAGTCTCTTGTATGAACGCTTAACCTATAGACCTTTGAACCAGCATCTTACGGTGTTAATGTCTAACCTTAATCAATATGATTTCCAAAAAGAGTGACAGTAACCCAATATGTAACATAATTCTATGTCATTTAGTTAATAGTGGCTACACATTGAACGAAAACAAGCATTTAAAACTTGTCACTGTATTTCATCACATCTTTTTAATACTCATCAAACACATTTTATGTTCTAGTGAAGCTTTGTATTATTGGTGTGACACTCCTGTATTATATATTAACAATTAATTTAACTAAATAACATGATTCAATTTCTCAGTATTATATAATTAATAATAATCATGTGTAATCTGAATCCAGCCTTATGGTACTTTACCATGAGAATAACAATCCTCATTAGCTTTGTCGATTGGCGACATTGTAATAGAAACAGAATCTCGAGATTACTAAATCACAGTTAGTCTCTCTTTTCTTTTCAATAATATTTTGAAACTGATTGGTATTACGATTGTTTAATGTAGTACATTAAACTTCAAATGACTACCGAAATAATCTAAAAACGTCTTTGCTTTTTATCGAATGAGTGTTTTTGTTTAGTGCCATTTTTTCTGTTTGAACAAGTTGGTTTTCTCAAGAATCACTAGAAGAATCGGACAATAGTTTACGCATAAAATTACCAGTACAAAAACACCCATTTATTATTTTATTGTTACTTTTGAGTTTTGTATGCTACATGGCTTAATTGAGTTGTTTTGATCATCATTCTGGACATTATCAGAGCCTATATGAGGCATCGATCTTAAATGCTAATCTCTGTTTGTTCAGTAACATTCATTTGGTGTTTCACATGTAGTCACACTACATAGTCCTAACTAAGGATGAGTAGCGACTGAACATTATGTAAGAACTCGGGTTTCCTTTCATTAACAATCATATAGATTCAGTCTAAGCCAAGATTTAGATGAACTACTTAACAACGATCTGTTAGTTGACTACTGTTCGAACAAAATAAATGCTTTGTTTCATACTAATTATATTTCCCGTATATCCAGGGTTTTTTTCAAAAACGGTTGTCAGATTCATGAGATGTTTGCGTTGTCGTATTTAGCAACAATAAATTCTTCCCCTCTTAGGATCTGAAATCGTCAAATAATAAGACCACAAAACAATCATCTAAAGAAATCAGAACTGATCATTTTGATAATCCACTTCAAAATACCATAACCTTCGGTATACATTAATTGGTAAAAACGTTTAACAACACTCACTGTTGACTTTTTAAAAGTCACCTTATGCTACACAAATCAGTTAAGTCGATTTCCAACCTGTTATATAGTGTGAGTGCGTTCTTGCCCAGTTGATATATATGACGTTTTAAGACCGCCGATTAGAGAGCAGTGAATTTATCGATCGTATTAGTGTACACAAAAGCTGTATGAGCAGTCTTGAGTACTTATCAGTCCTGCTATCTGCCTAACCCAGCCAGTTAAGTCCAGAACACCAATAACAGCCTCTGCAATATGAACCATTATTCTCAAACATCCTGGGTTTATATACCAAACAAACTGACCACATCGTACCATAAAATAGAAAACAACATGTGTACAAGATTTATCCAAATGTGGCTGTGAATAGGGAGAACAGTAATTAATGGACTAGGGATAACTCAAGAATGGTAAATCGTATAATGATAGTCTGTAAATCAAAATAAAGCTTATAATAAGAGGAACATGAATATGAGTAGTTTAGTTACTTAACAATTATACAATAGGAAATATACATATCATATTGGTCCATAAATAGTTCTTAAAGTTACCATTCCTAAATTTCCACGGAATATAACAATACTATTTTTTCATTATACTATAAAAATATATGCATAGTATTAGTCCAGAAATAGATTTCAACCATTACCGTTCATTATTCCCATCGGGATATAACGCAACCGTTTATCAAGACTCAACCTGAAATGAAGGTGCTCTTAAGATGTTTATCCGAAAACCTTTTAATTTCAGTAATGATATGTTTTTTTTTTCACAGACGATGTTCACATAAATACCTGCCATAAAAAAGCGTACACACAACACCATGAATTTTGATTTATCTTTATTTACCTAAATGTTTATTTCATGCTAACAGCAATATAAACGTGTTATAGTTGACGGGGAGGTGAATTATGTAAAATCCTATGTCAATCAATAGAATATTTAAAACGATAATGATAAATGTGAACAATTTAATGAGAATATTCAGGTTATCAGAAAGTCATAGATTATTTATAAAAAATAACTAATATACCCTATTTTTGGTACGTAGTATCTGACAGAAAATTTATATATTTCTGCAAAGGCCCAACATTAATTAATATATAGCATCACAGAATTTCGATACAGCTAAATAATGTAGTCACTAAGTCCTTATTGTATTCTTTTACTCACTCTAAAATTAAATCAGTTTTAATTATTTAGTATCCATTTAACTTTTTTTTTCAATTTTTCTCTTTATTTTATTAGTTCAAGAGGATGGATATTATACACCATTATTATCACATGTATAATATTATATTTCATGATGACTGGATTATGCTTTACCGAAGCATATATCTGGCCAAGAAAATTGAGAATATGTAATAGTTGGAAAACATTACCTTTGAATAATGATTATAACAATAATAGTGGCAGTAGTAATAAATATCAAAAACCGGATTCATCGTTGACTAACGGAGATAGAGAACAAATTAATCAAGGGGAACAAAAAACTATAAAATTCTCTGACAGTGATGACGATGATGTTGATGATTGTGAATGTGATCGTATTAATGAGGTAGGTAAGCATAGTAATTTGTAAATGTGAAATTTGATTTTTAAGGTACATTTTTTCCTGAAATTAATTTTATTGAGTTGATTATTTACTAAGTACTACTTCTTCTACTGTAGTGAACGAAAGCTCATGTACAGTAAACTAATTTATCATTTTGTGCAAAATCACGCAGTGCCCTATTAAAATATGGAGATCACTCATCACTTGCATATTTTCCTCGTGTTTTCTTTTACTTACTCTATCGTTCTTCGAATTATGTTGTTATTCCGAGTACTCACTGTTTTCTCTACTCTTCTCTTTATTTCATTTTCTGCTAGTAAGCATTCCGATCCATGCTACATACTACTTATATCTGTTCATATAAGTAACCACACCATACTATTACTACCAAAAATAGTAGTATTTGTGTTCACAGAATCCATTGTTTATATTATTATATTACAGCTGTTAAAATCTTAACTTGGTCCGATAAACCATATCTTTCTCATCTTGTGACCACTGATTTGTTCACTCAACCAGAGCATTTAAATATTCTTGTAATTTTGTCTTATTGACCGTACGGTGTTTGGATCTCCATACTTTTAGGTGATCCTCAAGCAACAGAGCAGATAATTTTGAAACTTTTGGCAGGTCGTTTACATAATGTAAAAGAAATTAAAATAAACAATCTGGTCAAGTGAATTCGATTATAGCTAGTTGGTTCTTTCTCTTGTATGTTATTGGTCTATTATCCTGGGTAGCGACACATTGTCATTGGTAAAAGACTTGTTTCAAATAACGTTCATCATGTATGTATGGTGTGAAGTTAATTTTTCACATTTAAAAGCCAATAAATGATCTAATCATCTGACTATCTTCAATTGTACGTGAAATACGCCAGTTGTATATACCCCTTTTTGGAACAAAGAAATGGTATATGCATGTATAAATTATCACATTTAAGTGCTTTCATCCGTTTGATTATTAAAAATACGAATTTCCGTGGGGACGTATGAACAATGAATAAACATAATATAGAAGAAAGATTATATTACTCTCTCTCTCTCTCTCTATATATATATATATATATATATATATATATATATATACTGCAATTAATTATAGAAAAGACTATGTATTTGCAAATGTAAGTCATGTATTATTAATAAGCTGTTAGAATAATCTTAATTCCACTGAGTACGTTAGATTCGTAATATCAAATGCGTTGAGGAAGGACTTGGGTTCTGCAGAAAAACGTGTCTATCCAAGCCGGTTCGTAAAGAAAAGTATGAAAGATAGTCGGAACAAAGAGTTCCCAAATTTTATTTCAAAAAATATCGTTATGTGCATCTGTATTTTAAAAGTGAACAAATTTCCGATGGACTTAAAAATCGGATATCAACAGATAATAACAGAAGGCTTTATGCGGCAATGCTGCGATTAACATTCACTAGCAGAAATTGAATTTTCGTATACATTGAAGATAATCTCTGTCATCTAATCACTTCTATAAGTATCTACATGTTTACCTACGTTTGTGAAATAAAGTACATAGACCTTAGCTAGTCCTTGCTTTCAACTCGGGGATGAAGACATACGAATGTTATTCTCCATAGATGAGTGGAAACCGGTAACGAGTTCTATCCTCGAACGTTTAGTCAATTCAAACCACTCCAATGATTCACTGGTTGGTTTTAAAATTGTCTTTAAAATGCATTCAAATCTACCGAGATTTCGTATTCAACTCCTTAAAACTGCAGATGTGCTTGTCATCCATGGCATGAAGTCTAAACTGTGTGTACAAAAGATTTACGTCTTATCGTCGTCTTTACCGTTTCCTTTAAATATCATTATTTTTTTATTTTCATTTCATTGATCCCTCATTTTGAAAATTTCGCTCTTTAATTAATTGTTATATCCCCATAATCTTATCCATGATTGTTTCTTATGTTACTTTATTTAATCCTACTCACTGCCTTCTCGTGGCATTACTGTTGTTTACGAAAGTGAGAGGACGAAAAGCGAATGTCCGGCGCTATAATCGGATTGGTGGACACGGAGGGTCCACCTAGGGGAGTTGGAAAACCCTGATTCCAAACCAATGGTGCACATGGGCTCCAGTATCCTGATGGAACGAATGGCGGAAGAACCTGTCATTGGTCAACGGCAACCATGGGACTGCATCTCCTCACGATGCTCCACTGCCTTGTGGATCAGACCTTTAGGTCAAAGGCTCGGGGTGTGGCCCCCTAAGAAAACCACCTGCTTCGGTTTGGGCACCTGGGCAGTATCACAGCCCACACACAAATGAATGAAATTATGAGCTCTATTGACGATAATATCCCTGGTCATACTAAAAGCAAGACAATTAACATTATTATTATTATTACCTTTATTATTATTATTATTTACCATATCGCTAACTCACCCCCTTTTATCCCCAATTTGTGTAACCTTACTTTTCAACTTATACAGCAGCTCGCCCATGGTGGAAAATCTGTCCTATCTAAACGATCTCCAGTCACTGTCTGGTTGAAAGTGAATGCTTCCACCGATACTGAATATTGAAGCAGTCTTTCTGAAACCACGTACGCCGTTCAAGCTGGCTTCCTTCAACGTTCGCACACTAATGCATATCAGACAACAGATAGGGCTGGCTATGTCTTTGGAAGGTCTTAATGTTGATGTTTGTTGTCTATCCGAGACCCGTATTCAAGACTCTAGTGAAGTACTACAAATCCGCTCTCCATCTGTCGCCTCGAAAAGCTTGTTCCACGTGCGCTTATCCGGGGACCCTGTGGCATCTTCGTCTGGTCTTGCTGGCGTTGGTGTCGCACTAAGTGCTAGAGCTGAGGCAGCACTAATCGATTGGATCCCCATTAACAGTCGGTTATGTGCTGTTAGATTAGAAAGTTCCATCAAAGTGAGAAGAAATCGGCGTGAGAAACGGTGTCTTTTCGTCATCTCCGCCTATGCCCCGACAGATTGCAGCCCGGATGCAATCAAGGATGAGTTTTACCATCAGTTAACAGTTCTTCTCCAGAAAGCGCGTTCGACAGATATTGTAGTACTAGCCGGAGACTTGAATGCACAGGTCGGGCGTCTAGGCACAGTAGAGAGTCGTCTAGGTGGCCGATGGGGACTTGTTGGTCGCAGGACAGATAACGGGGACCGTTTGCTGCAACTGTGCACAGACCACAACCTGTTTCTGGCCAGCACTAACTTCCGGCACAGTCATCGCCGGTGTGCCACCTGGCGTCCTCCCTCTGCATCCCAAGCCTGGACTCAGATTGATCACATCGCGATCAGCTACCGCTGGCGTGGTTGTGTACAAAACTGCCGCTCCTTTTGGAGTACCTATCTGGAGTCTGATCATGCCCTGGTCTGCGCCAATCTCACCTTACTTTTCAGTGGCCGAAGGATTGACCACCACCAACGGATTGATATTAGTAAACTGGCTGCAACTTCTGTTGCAAGTAAGTATCGAGCTGAGCTAGCCTCTAGGCTAGCTACCACCCCACCGAAAAGTATAGACGAGCATTGGTTGCATCTTCACGACGCCATGAAAATGGCGAGTAAAGCCGCTTGCGGCTTCGCGAAACGTCCCGCTTACAAGCACTGGGTGGTTGTGTACAAGACTGGGAGCAAGAAAGTGTTCCAACATCTTGGAATGAGTCAATAGTCGTCCCTATCTTTAAAAAGGGTTCACGTTGTTCCTATCGGGGGATAAGTCTACTTTCGATTGCGTCCAAACTATTGGCTTCTATCATTCTTCGTAGGTTGTTTAAAACCCGAGAACGATTGACTCGCGAGGAGCAGGCTGGTTTTCGTTCTGGTCGAGGATGCATTGATCACATCTTCACCCTTCGCCAAATGTTAGAACACCGTCATACTTATCGCAGGCCAACAATCGTAGTGTTTCTTGATATCAGGGCGGCCTTCGATTCGTTGGACAGGACTGTTCTCTGAGATTGTCTATTGAAGAAGGGTGTGCCTGAGAAGTTCATCAACATCTTAAAGGCCCTGTATACGAACACCTCAGGCAGAGTGAGGGCATACAACCACCTTTCTCCCTTGTTCCACTCGAGCAGTGGGGTGAGGCAGGGTTGCCCGATCTCCCCATTCCTCTTCAACTTTGGCATCGACGACATCCTGGAAACAGCTCTGATGGATGTAAGTAATGGCGGTGTGGATATGTTGCCTGGAGAACGACTTCTCGACCTTGAGTATGCGGATGATATTATCTTACTGTGCGATAATGCCCAAGGCATGCAATCAGCACTTAATCAGTTGGCAATCAGTGTCCGCAGGTACGGCATGTGCTTTGCACCCTCCAAGTGCAAAGTACTCCTACAAGACTGGCAGGATTCTCATCCTGTACTCACCCTGGATGGTGAGGAGATCGAAGTAGTTGAGAAGTTCGTGTATCTAGGTAGCTATATAAGTGCTGGTGGTGGCGTGAGTGATGAGATTGATGCACGTATAATGAAAGCCAGAGCGGCTTATGCCAATCTGGGCCATCTTTGGCGCCTTCGTGATGTTAGTCTGGCTGTAAAAGATCGGATCTACAACGCGTCGGTGAGAGCAGTTTTGCTCTATGCTTGTGAAACCTGGCCTCTCCGAGTTGAGGATGTTAGACGTCTCTCTGTGTTCGATCATCGTTGTCTCCGAAGGATTGCTGACATCCAGTGGCAACACCATGTTAGTAATGCAGAGGTTCGGCATCGTGTGTTCGGGCGCAGAGACGATAATTCAATTGGTGTCACCATCTTGAAACACCGACTTCGGTGCTTGGACATGTTTTACGAATGTCGTCCCAGAGACTTCCACGTCGTGCATTATTTGCCGACCCTGGGACTGGTTGGAGAAAGCGGAGAGGAGGTCAGTGTATGACATGGTGTCGTGGCATGAAAGAGAGCTGCAAAGGGCTAGCTTTTGTTGGTCCTTCACGACTCCCTGGTTGGGGTCCGAGAGATGGTGCAACACAGTGGCTAGAGACGTTATCAGATATGGCTCAGAATAGAAGCCAGTGGCGATCCTGCTGCAACCTTCTTTTACTTTCTACATAAAGAATGGTTCTAACTTTCCTAACTGAAAGAGTCTTCTGGTTGTACATTTCAGCCCGCTTTATCTTTTCATCCCTTCTCTTCCTACTTTCATTATTTTGTGTGGCGCATATGTACCTGGTGCCCTTTTGTACCATTATATATGTGTTTAAATAAATAAATAAATAAAATAAATAAAACCTTTAATTAGTGTGACGAGATTATCTTGCTTCATTCACATTATAGGCCATTGTTAAGTTATTAATTTTATTCAACTTTTTATTTGCACACAATATTTTTTTACGATTTACACTATATCATCTAGTATTATAGTCTTTCTAATTTTCACCATTTTTATTTATTGTTCATCTATCCTCAAGGAATTAGTATCTAAATCTGATATATATATATATATATATATATATATATATATATCTTGAACAGACAATTGCTTAGAAATACCTGTACTATTTTGACAATGGTTGTTGTAGTTCTCCAAGTTTCATCTCCGTACAGTAGAACCGTCTTGACGTTCGTATTTAAGATGTTTAAGCGGAAAGAGGAAGTTTAGTGTTGAAAGTCGAGGTGGGAGGAATAATAGGAATTGAAGAAGGATATCGATTATGAATACAGTGATCTTGAGTGCTGTTATAAGTATGAGGACAGTTATCACTTCCCGGTTTCCCACACCGTGGAAGGGTTCTTCTAGAAGTACATGAACGAGAAATTAGATTAGAAGTGGTCTTAATGACCTGATAGCGTGATCGCAGTGCCCAAGGGACAATTGCTTGAGATCGGTCACACACTACCTTTTTGTGGGTAGTTTTTGTGTTAGCTCCGTTCTTCAAAAAAACCTTACCGCTGGAGACGGATATCTGTGGGATAAGGCGAGGTGTGCATTTTTAGGGTCGACCTATTCTAACCCCACCCCTCCTTGTGGGAAGGCAGCATCGCTGTCGTGCTGGTTGTCTGAAGGAAACACCTTACTGCTGTCACACCTCTGTACAGTCAGCAGTACGACTTCGCCTTCGGGCCTTGGGTTTGCTGCTTTTAGTCTTACCGCTCTTCAAACGACCTGCCTGGCATGGTAGGACCTCGAGGATCGATTGTTCCAGCCAGTATTCATCACGATAGGCAAGCCCGACCACTACGTCAAGGTAGCAGCAACTGTCGGCTATCAAGTCAAACTTTGGTAAAGATACCTGCAATGCTCCATATTGTTACGGCTGCCATGCACTTTAAGGTCACATTGGTATTTGATTTATGTTTTAGAATCTACCATTCAGTTAACAGGTGGGATAATAGTTACACATCTTATCTTTATATATTTACGGTAATCATAAATCGTATATCATTGTATCAATTTCACTTGCTTCTATTAGGAACATTTTACGATCAGTGTTCTTTTTTCAACAAATTACATCTCTCAATGAAGCACTATCACTTTATTCCGATTTTCCGAAATATTTTTACTTCATTTTTATTTCACTTCTAAACATGACAAAATTAAGGTGTGTATATTGATAAAATAATCTGACAGCTGTGTATTAAATGGTGAATACTTTGTTGTGACAAGATATATTTTTCATGTCAGTTCTTAATATTTACTTAGTGTATCATTATTTACCTTGAAATACGCGAGAAATTAGCTTACTAACACTTATAACACACCCTTGTCAAAATTGTAGAAATTTTGTTTATTATGAGAGGACCTCAGTCCGATTGGTTTCTGTTGTAATTGATTAACGACATTTTGTGAATATGCATTTGATATGGTATTTCATCCCTTTTGCTCGTTTTCTTTATTTAAGTGTGTTTCTGTTATGAAATAGATTATTTCGTAAAATTATATCTGAAGCACTCAAAAATTTGTCTTTTTCTTCAAATTTCCATTTTGAAATTTTAAGCTGCGCACTTTCAGTTGGATTCGGTACTACGAATTTCTCAGCCTCATTGACTGATTCTCGAGGACACTAAAGTTTTGCACATGCTACGCGTTTTATTTGCATCATCTTCGGTTGGAGTTATAATAAAGCTCTTGTTTCCTTATGTGATATTTTTACATTTATTGTTATTAAGGGTTTCAGTTATCCTTTGATGGTCCTATATCTTACTCCAATTTGATCGTATGTTGATTGTTATAGAAATATACATATCGTCAATCCTTGCATATTATTATCCACTTAGCTCGCGTCAGTGTATAACGGAATTAAATTAGTCAACTACAATGATGAAATTTGAATGAGCATATTTCATACAATCGTTGATCTGAACTGACCACCTGTCAGAGAAACGAAGCGAAATGACCCTCAGTGGAGAGGGCATGTAAGCCAACTCGTTTTAATCAAGCGTGACTCGATATTTATAGTCAGACAAAAATAAGCTACAGATATGTGATGAGTAAGATAGGGTATGCACATACATACGCTTACATAAAAGCAGTCAAAGTTGACAAGCGAATAATTAGCAAGGTCAAAATGTGACACAAGAAAAATAAATAAATCGGCCTGTCCGGAAGCTAGAATAAGTTATGTGGCCTTGCATAGCAGTACAATCCTGTCATTAATATTCAGGGCTGAATCTTGATCATTCTTTGTGTTTATATGTGCGTTTGGTCCAGGGACATTCAGCTTGTTAATCTCAAATAGGATAAAAGTTACATCCCGAACTCTAATACTAATTAAATTTGCATAAAGCCAAAGCAGTGATTTGGGCATTCATTATTTTTCATGATTTCCCATCAGGTTCTAACAACCATATATATATATATATTAAGATGTAACACTGAGGTATGATATAATGCGAAACAACTGACATTGATGGCGGAAAGAATTAGAAGTACAAGGATTATCTTTGTAGAAATAGGCGTGAAGTGATTTAGAGATTTGAACACGTGATGAGAAGCTATGAAATATAGTGAATTAATATTAATCTGCCCCAATCATTGTTTTAGCATTAGTCAGATCTATAAAAGAAACCAATTGGATAAAACTAATTAAATTTCATGTAGTCTAAGGAACTTGGTTTCATAATTGTGAAACACGTTTCATCCACCATATATTCACGGTCCAACAAATCTTTTATGAGCTTTGTTCTTTCTCTCTCTTTACTAAAAAAGTTGGAGTTGTTGTTTACAGTCGTTCTCAAACTAGATTTTAACGGTAATTTTTTACCATAATTGACATTCTGTGTATTTTTCACACAAATCGTTATAAAGTATCATTCTGATATAATTTTCTTTTTGTATCAGATACCAAATGTACTCATGTTAACAGGTGTCCCATGTAGCACTACAGTGAAATCATTTGTAAAAGAAATAACAGAATTCTTCAAGTAAGTTTTTATACTGTTATAGTCTTTGAGTTTCATTCTACTGCCGAGAATATGTATAGTTTCAAATGTTTTCAATAACGCGATATGCACTACTAATATATACGCTATTGGTTAATTTAAAAGACGATAGCCCAAAATTTATGGCATACAATATTCAAGCATCCGGATTGTTTCAAAGCAATAAATTTATAATAAGTTTAGTATATTCAAAAATAACTATTACCATATGTGGTTGGCTTTATTCTGCAGAATTATTCTTTCAACATTTGATTTTTTATCGCATAAAACTACTTAAAAAGGAATTAATATTATCCGTTACATTGTTCAAGGTCTTATAAAAAGGTATACAGCATTGTATGCTTCTTACGGTGAAGAAATAAATGTCGTATCAAATACTTCATTCTTTCTTTAGTTGCTGTAGATGTACGCTTATATGTGTGCTTTTTCTAAATGTTTTTGTCGTGACTAGTTTGTATTAATACATGATTATTTGGTTTATTTTACTGTATTATAATCTGTCTTATTCACCTTATCTCTCTATATAATGACGATGTTGATAATATTGCTACTAATGGTGATAATATTAATAATAGCGGTGACCAAAACATTCTACGGTAGCTATTAGATATAGAATGTTCTTTGTTTATTCAAAAAGCAATGTTTGAGTAATCTGGTTAGCCATCTTCCCATATATATATATATATATATATATATATATATATATATATATATATATTACAATGCAAATAAGTCTTTTGCAAGTAATACAAACTAAAGCAATTATATGAACGAATATTCCTGAATGTTGCTGTACTCCAGTTGTATTTCATTGGTAATTTCTTTCTAATTCGTTGATCCCAAATAATAAGTACGAATCCAGTTATTAAACTACAGACATTTTTCCGCTTTCACTGTCATTGTAATTTGAAATTTGTTTATTGACTTATGAAGTAATTATTATGAATGCACATTTCCGTAAGTAGCATTACTTTGTATTATAGTCTATTTCAAGCTAATTATCCAAAGTAAGCTGTAATTACTACTAAAATGTACTATGAATGTACATTTCAAATTCAATGGGGAAATCTACAGACAAATAGATGGTGTCGCGATGGGTTCACCTCTAGGTCCCATAATGACTGATATTTTTCTCGCGAAACTAGAAAACGGGCCACTCACACAACAGATTGAAAAGTTTTCACTTTATTGCCGATATATGGACGACACGTTCATCCTATGTAACGACTATACTGACTTAATGGAGACACTGCAGCTATTCAATACAACTCATCCGTCTATAAAATTCACATGTGAGGAGGAAAATGGAGGTAGGATCGCTTTTCTAGATGTTCTCCTTACAAGGAGAAAAGACGATTCATTAAAGAGAAATATAAACAGGAAAACATCGTGGACGGGTCAGTATACTAACTTTCTTAGTTTTGTTCCTCTACAGTACAAAAGGAACCTAATTAAGACATTACACTATAGAATTAAGACCATATGCTCTGAAGATACGGTCGAAGAAGAAACAAAAGCATTATATATGACCCTGAGGGAAAATGGATACCCGGAGAAATTTATAAACAAAAACATAACTAGTAAAAGAGACCATAAAGAATGTTTAACTGTGAATAAAAAGCCTCTGTATATACGTCCACAATTCAGAGGTGACGCACCTAGCGAAATGGTAAGATTGAAACTACGAAGATCAATTGAAAGGACTTTTAATGCAGGTAAACTACAACTCATGTTTTCCACACGCCCAATGATCACGCCGACGTTGAAAGATAAATTGCCTAGACTAGCCACTTCCTTCTGTATCTATCAATTCAACTGCTCCTGTGGAGCAAGTTATATAGGCAGATGTTCTAGGAATTTGTATACTCGGGCTCGTGAACACCTTCCAGTGTGGTTAAGCAAAGGTGTAGTCAGAACGGTTAACAGCTCTGTTTTAGCCCATTTAGTTCAGACGGGACATATAGCCGACATCGAGCAATCCTTCACAGTAATATATCGTGTTAATAGTAGTCTACCTAATTCTGTCAGACAGAGAATCCTGCAGACGGCTGAGGCAATTGCTATTCGGATCAAAAAGCCAGAGCTCTGCATCCAAAAGAAATATGTACAGCCGCTCCTTTTACCCTGGCCAACTTCAGGGTCAACTTGTTAATGATCAATTTTGTAATATGGTGACATTAATTTGATTAATGTTCACTTCTATATCTCAAACTTAGTTTATCTACACATCTTATCAGTCATTATTCTTCTTATTATTATCTTTATTATTATTATTATGATTATTATCACACCTGCTAACCTTTTAAAGAAATTTATTCGTCATCCACCCCCTATCTACTATATCTGACCTAATTTGTATAATTCTACATATTACGTAATTTCCGATTTGTAATCCCATTGTTCTATCTCTCACCCCCATGTCAACTATATATATTCTGATCATTTATATTACGATTTCATTTCACCTATAAACTGATTCAAGTTAACACATCATATTAGTCATCCCAAAAACATTAACGATTCGATCTTATTTTATTTTATATGACAAACAATCCTTGATTCACATATTACAGTTTCTTAAATTGATGTACTCCGCCTTAAACTTGGCCAATCTTCTTTTATGGATTATTAATTTATAATTGTAGAACCTGATGAGAAATTATTGAAAAGAATATTCTTCGTTCATTTAATTGTGTTTTAAGCTGTAATGGCTTATTTTCAGCCTTGCGATATTGTTTGGGGAACTTAGCTATCCTTTCCTAGCTTGAAATTTTCTTTCAACACATTAGTAAATCTACAGACATTGTATAGTCTTTCTCCTTCATACTTATAAAAGACAAGATAACTGTTGCCACACTAAGAAATTTTATTACGAAACCCAGCTACAGAATTTTATCTACTCCTCTTTAAAACATTCAACATTAAAATAAATGGATTTCGATTTGCAGGTGAATCCAGGATGGACATTTTGTCGTGTCTAGGACTCTTGCGCTGTATGTCAATATTCCCGTTGGAGCTCGAACCCATGCTTTTCACCCCAAACGCAAACACGTTATCTGCCGAGCTACAATCCATTAACCATTAATTTTTCCTTTGGTATAATTGAGCTAAACTATGATGGTTATAAAAATATCCTTTAAATGCAGTTTTATTTTACTCTAATTCCTAGCTAGTGGTTGTTAGATATCTTTTTATTTCTATCTCGTTTGTTTTCGTCTCAAACTGGCTTCAGTTGTTGAGCCGTTGAAAACAAGATAGCATTAAACAACAGCTGATCGATTCTACTTAATGAGTTGGAGTTAATCTGTAGTGAGAGTTATCTCGAGATGATTTCGCTTCTGAAGAGTCTTATATTTGAACGAAATAGCTGTCCATTACTTACGCGTTTCCAGTATCTGGTTAACTTGGATAAGTCTTCTAACTCTTTTGCTGACAAGTTGAGAGTATTTTTTTCTACAGTAACGTTTATTAGCTAACTGTTCAGCAGCTTTTCCATCTCTCTCAGTCTATATCCTATTAGACCTTCAAAAGTTGAACATTGCAGTTTTTGCACTTAGAAGAATTCGCTCCTGGGTTTCGTTTCATGTCTAAAATTTCTAACACTAAATAAAGTCAATTGTCGAATTTCTTGTATATTCTCAGTGTCTTGATTGTGAAGTCTTGGTTACTATGAAACGACTACTACTGTTATAAAGCAAGTGTTTGTTTATCATTCTATGCTTTATTTAGTAATTTTTTTGATACTATTTACGTTACGTCATCCCGCCAGCAGGAAATCGTATCACATCACTAGAACTTATCAAAATGGCGGTGAAGTCCCACAAGTAGAATATATATGTAAATACAGTGGCAGTAATGGTTTTAGTAAATAAAAGATGACTACACAAAAAGCCAATTAATACAGGCACCCGAAGTAGTTCATTATTACATTTGGATAGTGTAATAAAAAGAGGTAGGTTATCAGAACTATGCGAACATGTACCAAAATGGTCACAAAAATCAATAGAATCAAATGACTCAATAAGAGTAGGGGATAAACACCCATCATCCTCTATTGTCAAACATATAATCGAAACAGGCCGTACGATTGATCTTATCTACGCTCTTGTGGTGTTGTATAAAAGTTTAAAAGAGTGTATACCAAGATTCATTGAAGTCATATGAAGATTCAAACCCCCTCTGTGTATTCAAAATCAGCTTGTTCTCACCTTAAACCGCCTTAGAGATCAGTTCAACTGGCCTTCAGCCACACTTCGGTTTCACAAGATCACCAGTCGACCTGAATTGTTGGGTTGAAAAAGCTATAGGAAATTTGAAGCGAGGCAGCGGCAATAGGTAACAGTAGTCAGCTATTCAGACTCGTTAAAGAAACCGGTATTAGGAACCCGAATATCAGTGAAACCATCTCAGATAAAGATGGGCATATTATTCATTCTCAATCCAGGAGATTGGATCGATGGGCAGAACACTTTAGGGATCAGTTCAACTGGCCTTCAGCCACACTTCAATTACCCACGATCCCCAGTCGTCCTGAATGGAAAATTGATGTAAGTCCTCCAACCCTCTGTGAGGTTGAAAAAGCTATAGGAAATCTGAAGCGAGGGTGAGCAGCAGGCCCTGACAGGTTGACCCCTGAGATTTTTAAGGATGGTGGTCCAGTACTAGCAACGAGATTGACTGAGGTTTTAGGTAGAACCTGGGAACTGGACGTAATTCCACCTGACTGGTCTCAGTCACTGATTGTGCCAGTCTATAAGAAAGGGCAAAAGTCTTCTTGCGACAATCACAGAGGAATCAGTTTGACTAATATAGGGTCCAAAATATTAGCTTCAATAATACTTGGACGCCTAACCAAAGCTCGTGAAGAGCATACTAGAGAAAACCAGGCTGGTTTCCGACCTGGACGTGGTTGCATAGACCAGATATTCACCCTACGTCAGGTTCTAGAACATAGACACAAATTCAGACGTCCCACAATAGTAGTGTTTCTTGACCTTAAGGCGGCATTTGACTCCGTTGATCATGAGGTTCTATGGCAGTGTTTGTCACTGAAAGGAGTACCAAAGAAGTACATTAACCTCATAAAGGCTCTCTACTCGAGCACAACTGGTCGAGTTAGAGCCTATGGCGAACTGTCATCAGAACTGGTTACCACAAGTGGCGTTCGTCAAGACTGTTCACTCTCCCCATTCTTGTTTAACTTTGTCGTTGACGTACTTTTAGAGATAACACTTTCATCATCTAAATCTCCAGGAGTTGAACTTTTACCGGGAGGCTCACTTGTTGACTTAAAATACGCCGACGACGTCGTTTTATTTGATGAATACGCCGACAAAATGCAGAGTCTTCTGACCACTATAATCAACTATGCAGGCATGTTCGGAATGCGATTCTCTCCCCCGAAGTGCAAAATGTTACTTCAGGATTGGGTTGCATCGACACCTGAACTAATGATAGGGAATGAAGTAGATGAGCGTGTTGACTGCTTCACTTATCTTGGGAGTCTCATCAACCCTTGTGGTCTGGTGTGTGACGTAATCTCAGCACGGATAGAAAAGGCTCGTCTAGCTTTCGCCAACTTTACGTCATTTATTGCGTTGGAGAGATATCCGTCTAGCAATCAAAGAACGGGTTTACTGTGCAGCAGTCCGTTCCGTCCTACTTTATGGAAGTGAAACATGGCCGATAAGAGTAGAGGATATTGGTAGGATATTCGATCATTGGTGCCTTCGAAGCATTGCTCGTATATCCTGGGACCACCGGGTAAGTAATGCAGTTGTTAGGAAACGAGTACTAGGTAAAGATGGCAAATCGATTGATGAAGTAGTGAAACTTCATCAGTTGAGATGGCTGGGACATGTGTTACGTATGCCCAATCACCGACTGCCCCGACGTGCAATATTTTATGGTGTAGGAGCAGATTGGAAGAAAGCTAGGGGTGGCCAGACCAAAACGTGGCACAAATCCATGAAGTCACTGACAAGTGGACTGGGCCATGTTGGTATGTGTAGACTACCTGGTTGGGATTCACGAGATGTTAGCAAACGATGGTTAGAGAACTTGAATGACATGGCTCAAAATCTTTTGCAATGGCGAAGGTGCATCCACTCTTTGTGTTCTACCAAATTCTAACCTTTTGATTTTTTCATATCCCTATCCTTTTTCTCTTTCCAAATTTATTTCATTGTATTATACTCCTTCAATAACATCTTCAAACCCTAATCTTTCCCATTACTGCTCATACTCTTTCTACTTCTACCACTATGGGATTTGAATGAACAACTGTGTTAATTTGGTATGGCAACTCGAACTGATGTACATACGTACGAAGTTCTATGTTGTGAAGTATTAGGGCTAAGGTAATTTGGTCACACTTAAAATCAAATTCCTGGTCTGCATTTTATATTATGAAGTTCAACTAATAAGGTGTTTTTGTTTCTTTTTAACGTTGTCATTCACACTATAATTTTTATGATTATATCCTTACTCTGTCTCAAATCATGCTGAAGAAGCTTTAGGTTACATCTACTCCTTACTGCACAAAATTTAGAATAACAGATTTGTTACTAATTAGTATGTTTGTCACTGTTGAATCAGGCTCTGAACTTGAACAGTAGGTAATGTATTTCTTTTCGGCGCACAGGTTCATACACTTTTTATTAACTCTGTACATTTCGAAATTGTAATTAAAGTTTACCTCACAAATATTAACTTTTTTATTGCAAATTTTAAAAGTTGTCACTTGAAACTAGTAATTTCGACATACATACTTAGTCTTTAAAGTTGATTAATATCCTCAACTAACAACATCAATACCATCTCATTCTCGACGTTATTGACTCGTGCACACTATGCAATACCGTTAGAGTTTAAAGCCTGGTTATCCTCATCTCTCTCATGTGCAGAGTCGTTTTGTATTGGTCTAAACTCTTGAATTAGAATCTTACAGCTGTTCATTAATCTTTATTTTAATGGTTCTCTACCATTAATACTGTTACTACTTCCACTACTCTGACATTTACCTTGATTATTTCATTTAGTTGTGCTGATATGGAGTAGCCACCTAAACTAACACGCATATATGCTAAGTTTTACGTTATTTACAACTGATTGACAGGATAGTTTTCTAGCTGATGTTAAATCATAATGAAAACGCCTTCAAAAACCATCTTTCCTCATAACGTAAGTAGAATTTATTAGCATTATTCTAGTTTCACTTAATTAATACTCATCGGTAAATAGAAGTTTTTAAAAAAAGAATTATTATCCTTGTAATTCAAGTGATACTTTCTTCCCATTTATTATAGGATTAATCATCCAGACTTGAAGGTAAAATGGATTGAGCCGGTTTATTTAGTTCGAAATTTGATGGAACTCGAACAAGCAAAGTGAGTTCATTAAACACAGTGAACAAAGGAAAGAGTTTATTTCTTAATCTCAATGTACATCATATAATTTCCGTTATCAACACTTAATTGGTTAGTCTATGTATTTTAAAAATGCAATTTTTTGATAAATTTGGATTGTGTAATAAGAAGATTATCAGAACTATGTAATACATTTGCGCAATACATTTCGAACAATCTGATCACACATATACTTGTTAAAAACATTTATCTATGGAAATTAAATAGTCAAATAAACAAATGGTCAGTTCTAAGTTCTGTTAAACATAGCTAAAATATTTAGAGGGTGGTTCGCTCTTTAAATTGTAATTTATGTCGTATGTAAGGCAAAGTTGCACCAATGTGTAAAGCATGTATGATTTCTTTCACCATTCAAATGACTTATTACATACATGCTTTTAAGATGGTGTAGAAGATTTGTAGCTCAGGTGGGTGATTTTGATGTTGGTTTGTTCTCTGAGCTGGGTGGTTTGGTCGTGGAGCTTTCATCGTCCTTCTGAACGACATCATCAGCACCAACTTCGGGTAGAAGTGAAGTGTTTGAATTTCTCCACATGTGATTCACAGCTTGTCCTCTGCACCTCGATGTTGATTGGTTCTTATTGACCTTAAATCTGTCATTGTTTATTTCTTTGTTTTGGTTGTATCTCCTATTGGTTTGATTTTTGTTCCTATCTTCCTGCATAATTTTCTTGATTGGTTGATAGATTGGATTGATTTCAATATGTTTGTTTATTGCTGATTGACCTGAGTGCCAAGCTTCTAAAAATTCTCTGGTATTTTTGGAATTGCCTCTGTCCAAAATCTGCACGTTTTCCCAGTCGAATGTATGTCCGTAGTTGTCCACGTGTATTGATATGAGTGAAGAAATGTCGTAACGTTTGACTGCTAATTGGTATTCATGCAGGCGAAGGTGAAGGGGGCGTCCGCTTCGTCCAATATAGTGTTTGTTGCAGTTGGTACAATTTATCTTGTAGATGATGTTTGTTTTGTCCTCTTTTGCTATTTCATCTTTTGGTTTGCATAAGATTGAGTGGAGGGACTTTGTTGGTTTGTGGGCTACACCTATTCCGAAGGTTTTCAGCAGCCTTGTTGTCGTTTCCGATATGCCCTTTATGTATGGTAGGGTGATCCTTTTGTTGATTTTCATACCTGATTTCGTTTCTGATGGTGTGTGCGACTGGTATTTTTGATGAAATTGATTGGATAGTCGTTCTTTTGAAGAATGGTTTTCAGGTGTTTTTCTTCATTATTTCGTGCTGTGATTGTATTGCAGTGTGTTCTCGCCCTCTTGAACAAAGTTTTTACACAGTTGACTTTGTGAGTTCTTGGGTTGTTGCTATTGTAGTTGAGAATTTGATCGGTGTGGGTCGGCTTCCTGTGCACTTGAGTCTCTAGTTTTCTTGTGTCAAGATTACTACTCGGCTCTTAATTTCTGTCTAGCCCAGCCAGTTAAGTCCAGAACACCAATAACAGCCTCTGCAATATGAATCATTATATTTCAAACATACTGGATTTATATACCAAACAAACTGACCACATTGTACCATAAGATAGAAAATAACATTTGTACAAGATTTAACCAAATGTGGCTGTGAATAGGGAGAACAGTAATTAGTAGACCAGGGATAACTCAAGAATGGTAAATCGTATAATAATAGTCTATAGGTCAAAATAAAGCTTATAATAAGATGAACATGAATATGAATAGTTTAATTACTTAACAATTATACAATAGGAAATATACATATCATATTGGTCCATAAATAGTTCCTAAAGTTTCCATTCCTAAATTTCCACGGAATATAACAATACTATTTGTTTTCATAAGTCGAAATAGATGTAATACATTTTATATCTCTCATGTAGTTGTTCAAAGTTGATTATTCAAATTACTGACATAAAGCTTAATAAAGTATGAATCAATAAAAAGCTACGTTTTTAGTATCCTACCTAGCTGTTATAATTTCGTGATAAAGCACAAATATAATTTATGATTTCTGAATAATATACTATGTAATGAGTTTCTTACGGTAACTTGTATGTGGTCTGATTAAAAGTGCCTCACGTCCTGGTTATCAACCATAGGTTACACTTTTTGTAATACCAACAACACACATTCTACGAGATAAAATCAAGTCTTTGATTTTAGATAGTTCTGGAAGACTTTTCTATCTTTTTTTGAATAACTATTTCGACAATGGGATATCTGCCTATATCTTATTGTGGATAGTAACTTCTGAATGTTTTATTTTCATACCACTGAGTATCAACTTATCATAGTATACAATTCAGGTATCATGTACATGAATATGCTTTCATTACTTTGGTAAAACTGTTTGTTTGTAGAGCTGAAACAGAGATTTATCTACGCGCTTCAGTTGAACAATTAGAAATAACTGGTGAACAGCCAACCTATCATAATTTCGGTACTATTTGTCATAGACGGGGTATGAGTAAATCAGACGCCGATGCAATTGCAGTGTATAAAAAACAATTAGATGTGCTTGAAACACAAATCAACACTTTTTACGCAATCAGTGGCCTATCGAACATTGAATTTTTAATGAAGGAAAATCCTGGAAAAAATCTTACTGATTTACTCGATATACCGCATACAGGAATTGTTTTTATCGGTCTAGAAAATTCAGGACAAGTTCTAAGGTCGGTAAAACCACTTTTGTCAATATTTCTATAATTTGATGATTGAGTGACTTTCTTATTTGATTTTATCCCTATTTTTGAAATAAAAACTCGTCAATTCAAGCTGTTATACATTTTTGACCATAATGCATTAAGTTTCAGGAATTTTATGAATGAATTTTAGTTGCTGAAATGAAATAAAAGACTATTGATTAGTAGACGATACGTTCTGGACAAGTGATAGCTCCTCGCGAAATTGAATAATCCCAGGTTTGTTATGTTTATAAAAATTACGAGGTCACCTAAAATCAGCAAACGGAAAGAAGGATCAGCGACATGACCAGATAGCTAAACTACTCCAATACACCTCAACCCTGTTAAGTAGGGGGAGAAGACCAAGTTCAGATCAGGGGTAAGTATATTACACGAGCAGTCAGATACACGAACAAACCAGGCACACAACTCAAGCATATATATATATATATATATATATATATATATATATATACAACATAAAAAAGTCTTTGGGAAACGTCACGAAATAGCTTATTAAAAGAGGCAACGAACCAACGACATTTAAGGTCCTTCCAAACGGGTGATACGATCTAAAGATAAAAGCAGCTGCTCTTGGCGCGAAAGCGAGAAATTCAAATTTCCGAAATAAAATTACAAAATTAAGACCTTTACTAAGTGATTTCCCGCGATCTATCATCCCCAACACATACCCCTTTTAATGGCGTACGTCCTTGAGGTCCACCCGCATCTTAACCGTTTGTCGCCATTGTCGAAGTGACCACCTTCTGGGACGTGGGTCGGTTCGTTGTTGTACTTTTCCTTGCGTAGGAACTGCTGGTAGTTTGAAGGTGTCTAACAAAACTTCGAGCTGGAGATTTCGCCCTGGGGAATCGAGCCCAGGATCTTCAGTCTCGTTTGCGAACACTTAATCTCCTGACCACTGGGCCGGGACCCAACATCGTCAATGCCTAACTTCAACCATTCCGCGACCACATCTTCTAATGTCTTTGGTGGACAACTGCTCCACACCCGAAACGGATTAGCTGCACCGGTCATGGCTTCTCACTAGAACGCGGAGATTTACCTCGAAGCTAGTCACTAGTAAGAGCATGATAAATTTCAGTATGTCGTTTTGGAAGATGGTCGCACAATATCGATGATTGATTGAACTTGGACATTAACTCCGTTGGATGTCAGCTCAGTAGTGTATAGGTTAAGCTTTCTCTCCGGGGATCGATGGTCTTGAGTTCGTGTCCCGCATGTGGAATCTTGAATGGGCACTTCTAAGAATTTGATACCGGGACGAAACGGCCGTCTAGTGCTTCCAGGATTTGAATGGTGGTCTAACATTTATTAGTGCATGAGACGGCCGAACCGAAACGCGGCATCAGTTCTTGAAGTCACTAACTTCTAGTCTGAGCCACTTTGGCAAATGCAGACTACCTGGTTGGGGTCCGCGTGACTATCGTATCCAATAGTTGGAGACTGTAGGTGACATGGCTCAGAATCGATCACTATGGCGTAGGTGTATACACTATTTATCTTCCCTTAAACCTTGAGATTAAAATTGCTTCATAACTTTCTTCCTTCATGTACTATATCCTTATATACAACCTATAATTTATATACTACCACCACCACTAAATTAACTATTTCTATGAATCCGGTGTTTATCTTGTTGTGCTAACGAGGTATGGCAACTTGGACCGATGCATATATGTGCCTGGTCCTACGTTGTAGCTGGCTGACTGAGTGCATGATTTTAGTGAAATAAAAAGTTTAAATTATTTAGAAAGTAGGATGTTATTATTAAAAATCACATTTGTTTAGCATTCCTTAGTAACCATACTATTTTTAACGGCTAGATTAAACGAATTTTTAAGGTTTTCTAAACATATTTATACTCTACTTTTCAAATACCATATATAGACATCTTCAACTTATTTGTCACCTTTTATTTACAAATTAATAATGTAACTTGTAAGCATAAAACACTCAGAAGCCTTTATAATAATTTATATATATATATATATATATATATATATATATATATATATATATATATACCGACGAGTAGAAAATCGACTTTCTGATGTTCGCGACTTAGTGTTGGATATTTCTTCAGAGGATAAATGAATAAAGCAAATCAAAAGAAGTTTGACCAAGCTTACGTAATGTTATACTAGCTAAAGGCAAGATAGTCTTTGTGTTTATTTATGTATATCTCATTGGGTATAGAGAAAAATGTAAAACGGCAGAGCTTATTTGTATATATGTTGGTGGTTTTAGGTTCGCACGATAGAAATCATTATTTATAATATAAAAATTATTAAAAAAGTTTTTCCAACTATAAAAAAATACTGATGTTTGAAGCTTTCCATATATTCTTAAGCTCTATTGTGTTCAATAGAAACGGATGTCTAACTGTCCATTAAACTTGAACCACTTTTTTCAAGCAAACATATTTCATCTGTTCAGTTATTCTTTGGAGAAACAACTTACATATTAAGTCACGAAATATTGGAAACACAATTTTCACCTCACTAGAATATTAAATCTATATTATTATTCCATCGATACAAACATTTTACTCAATGCCCGATGTATTTGAAATTATCAAGTCAAACCTTGGTAGTGATGCTTAGAACCGTTTTTAGTTGAGTGTTTAGCGAATAGACTTGTTTACATTTTGATAGAATTGTCCATCCCTACAAAAAGTGCACTATATTGTCCCATAAATGAACTTCTATGTGGTTGTTAACCTTTCTTTTCATTTCCGCATACGTTATTTGGTTTACAAATATGTGTTACAAACCGGGTAACTTTATTTTATCGTTCATTGATTGATCGTTTGAAGACATTGGTTTTCAAACTAACAACAAGATATAACTCTTTATTGATATCCAGGTGTACAGTTTCACTGTAATCTTGTAATCTGATCTTCTACAAGTAGTGTTTCAGAGCTAGGAAAATGTTATAGAACTTAGTGAAATGAATTACTGATTTAGGAAACGTTGTGAATATAGTCAATCACTTTAGGTGGCAAGTTGGTACATCATATTTAAAATTTTTATATATATATATATATATATATATATATATATATATATTATCCTCTTACTTATTCTTATTTGTTTTTTCACTTCTCACTTTAGATTTCTGTCTTCATACACAACTTATCCGCTGCATATATTTCCAATCAACAATACTATACATATACAAAGCTATTGTAAACAACATCGTCCTTGGCGTAATTTACACTATATTGAGAAACCAAAACGATCTTATCTATTCAGTCATGCTTATTTAGCCCCACCATCATCAGACTTGTTGTGGTATGAATTAAATATTATTTTATTTCTCTCCTGAGACAGAGAGGTCTTTGGAAGCTAGTTCAAACCAAACTTTTTAAAAAATATATTATTGAAAATGATTCTGTTTAACATTTTTCAAAGTTGACTTCTTACCTGTTATTCTTTTGATCAACATAAATTAAGTAGACAGCATAACTGGTTATATATTTATTGATGATATTAATCTAGATGATAATCATTATAGTAGGAGCTACTAGTTAATCTACTCAAGGTCAGATACTTTGCTCTTGTTTTTACTCAAGAGTACATCCTAATTTTGAAAAATATTTAATGTTTAACACTAATCACTCACATTACTATTGGCGTACATTCTTTCTCCATTATTTCATTGATGATATGGTTATATCGTAACTTATATAATTCATAATAAGAAATACTCATTTAATTGTAATACTTGGAATGTAAAGTGTGGTGTATGCTACTGATGTGGACAGAAATAAATAGTATGTATTATCAATCGAAAGTGGAATGCCTGGAGGCAGAAGGTTAAGAAGATCGAATTAATGAGAACGAGGAATGATTGGTGTGGAAACGAAAGAACAATGAAATCTGAGACGATTGACTGATATTTACAAAAGCAAAAGTCAATTTTGAAATAATTAATTGAAATACTGCAAATTAAGTATTTACTGTATGATTCTCAGATTTTACTAAGATGTTCTGTAATTTTGTGTTGAAATACATTCGATTGTCTCCACTTGTGTTATCGTTCACCACAAAGCATTTAGTCAATACCACAAATTACATTCACATTAGAGCTTTAAGCTTTTCTCATGTTTGTTAAAAGCCATTGATATTGATCATTGTAAAGAGATTCATTAGTTCAGATGAGAACATATTTATTATTTAGTTTTTAAATCTTGTTGCTTATTGTCATTTGGAACTATGAACACATATAGTTAAGGTGTCCTAGGATGAGATTATCTGACAGTCATTGTACCGATTGATACAAGCTGAATATTTACCAGTGATATTCATTTCATGATTTCTGATGAATTTTACACTCATTTAGATTCTATGAGATTTTTAAAACATTTGGATAGTGTTCTTGCGAAGTGTATACAATATATAACATTTTTGAAAATCCATAATTCAATGAACCTATAGACTTATGTAACTATTCACAGGCTGAATATAACTTCCACAACGCATCATGGATCTAAATGGTGGTTACGTGTAGTTGGAATTCGTGTAGCTGTTGTTTTGTTGGCATTCGTCTTAACATCACCTGTTTATATACTTACTATTGTAAATTTTACTGGATTATTCGACTGGTTGGGTAAAATTTCGGTACGTATTCGATATATATATATATATATATATATATATATATATATATATATATATATATATATATATATATATTCCTATTTACGTATTTGCATTCGTTTTTAATTATCCAGTGAAATCATGTGAACAGTATTGTGAATCATGTTTGTCTAACTTTGTCATAGCCAAACGCTTTTAATAATAAACCTGGTTGTGTTTGGATTGCTAATTTATCATGTCCTTATTTTTGCAATAACTACCAAATTCCTCGTACATGTGTGTTTTTTACTGATGTTCGTTTGTTTTAACTAACGTCAAATGTGTGATGTATGTGTTTAGGGTTTCTGTGAAAATGCCTCAAAGCAATTACACTTGTTGTGAAAAAGCGATATACAATAATTATATATCATTTGCTTTAGATAATACAAGTCTAAAGTGTTCAGGACATCATAGGATTGTTTAAAAATCAATAAGTTTCTAGATTACAATGATTTTTTTTACTGATAACAAAAAGATTTTACCCTCTAAACCATCATGAACTTCAAAAATAGTTTTAAGGCTTTTCTAGTTTATTTTAAAGTTTCTCAATACTTTAGCTGAAAAATAATCAGTCAGCAAATTCAAATCACTGCATATTCATTTGAAGTGTCAGTTCCATTAGGAGTAAACTGGAAATTGTGTGTATTACTAAAATTTGCTACAAAACTTTTTATGATAGCTCACCAAAATCTGATAATAATGTTCATCAATAAATAACATCAATTGAAAACTGTCAGTGATATTTGTATTTTTAACTTCATTGAGTATTGGATCCTTTGTATTTATGCTTCTTGAAAATCTCCTACTTCCATTACACTATTCGGTTGAGGTCATTCATGTTTAGTCATTTTATTTTACAACTTGATTATGATATGCCCTGCTCGTGATTTAGAATTCATAGGTAGAATTACAGTAAGAATCAACAGTTTATGCTTTTGGAAATCCCTGAATTGATTTGAAGTAAACATCCACTACTGTGCTCACTCGTATTCACTTAATGCTCAGATAATGGTGCTTGTTGACAAAAAGTTCCGTAATTGTAATTTAGTTGTACGACTAATAGTTTTAATTATGTTTAAAGAAATAATTCAATTGAAAATATTATTTTGTTTATTAAATGATTAACACTGTGTCAAACTATCTAAACATTTTTCTTTCAGCGTCCATTTATTTCTAAATGGGTCCCGGCATCAATTTTAGCAGGGGTCTCAGTACTTCTAACACGTCTAGTAATCATCAGTGAATATTGGACGAGACATAAGACACGTGGAGGTTTAGAAAGTGTTATCTACCGAAATGCTTATTGGTTCTTATTTTTTACAGTGTTATTATTACCTTCTCTTGGAATAACAGGGTATGTTATTTTATCCAAATATTATTATAATGTTTAAGCTTGATAAAATTGAGACACTAAATGATGAGTTGCATAAGGTAGTTTGAGAATTTTTTGTAATAGTAGTTAGAAATGAGAAGTAAACTTCTATATTCAGTAAGCAAAATTGTGAGAAATCATAATTTGGTATATTGTTCATAGTAAGCATTTTGTCAATTTTCATCTTGTTTTGTCATTAAGGATAAGCTCAATAAAATAACTGCTCAATTGTTACTGATATTAATGAATTTTACTGCTTTTTGGAAGGCACTTGGGGCTTGAGAAGGCTCGATTGCATTATTCTTTACAATTAATTAGAAATACTTTATAAGCTAATTCACGTTAAATCTTCAGATATATATAAATAGTTTTATGGGATTATATCAGATACCAGACGACTTTTTCTAACTCCTCTTCTGTAATTGACCGGTTTATTACTTGTTAAAGTTACCGGAATATATAAAATAAACATGGATATCTGTTTATGTTATTGCGAATAACTTTGTTTATTTAACGACTTTCAGTTGAATAACTTACCTTTTTCAGAATCATAATGTTACTTCCATAGCGTTGATATTAATGGTTGGATATCTAAAATTATCCGATATTGTCAGTTTAATTATATGTTTTCTCATACGTTGATTAGATATTCCAACTTGTTAATTCTAATGACTTAATAGGTGATGTACGATAACATCTACCTGGGTGGTTTTATATGAAAAATAATCAAATACATTCGATATCACCTATACATCGACCTAGTCATCTGAAATTTTCATAGACAATTTCCACTGAGAATACGTTTAGATATAATCTAGTATCAATTTCATGAAAATCCTGCATATCTAGACACTGTCTACTGCATACTATATGTATAGTTGTATATTCTTGAATGATGATGATATTGTTTATATAGTCGTTTACCGGATATATTCTGGACTCATACATTTTTCACAGATATCTTACTAATAACAAAATCATTCATGTGAAATATACTTGGTTAATATCTCTCATGTACTGTGTTTTGTTTTCCAGTTTTCCAGCTCTGTTACATCAGCTTATAACAACTAAAGTGAATCATTCAAATCCATTTGCTTTTTACGTACCATTTCGAACAGAATGTATATTCTTACCAGACAACGGTGCATTATTTATCAATTATGTAATAACATGTGCATTACTTGGAACAGGTTTACAAATTCTACGTTTGGGTCATATTTTTCGAAATTTGGTTAGACGATACATTTACGCTCATACTGTGGCAGAAAGAAAAATTTTCTCTGAAGTAATTGGTTTTTATAGGTCTCTTTGTTTAAAACTCATACTCGCGCATCATATATATATGACTTTCATCACAGTAATTTACTGTCACTGTTCTCATGGAATCCTTTTCTTGTCAACCACTATATAAACTTCATTATTGGCAAAATCGTTATACAATCAAGTTAAATATTTTCATTTTAACATAAAATGAAACGCTAATCTGTATCAAAACAACACTTAAGATAATAAAAAACCACAGGGACTTGCTACTACCAGTTTGGTTTTAATGAGTATAAAGTATTTATTAGAAAAGCTTCTAAACATTAGGATTTTATCAGTTGAGGATTTTGACTAAAAGTGGTTGTCTGAACACGTTAAGTCATTCGAATCTCTATGCACTATGCCAAAAGGTACCGTCGTGAAGTGAGTCATAGTAGTTGCTTAGTCACTAGTTAATTACTATTAAGTTGTTGATTAATTTCTGTAAATACAAAATATCTGAACTAAGTTGTGTAAGTAGCTGCAGACCATTTTCTTCAGTGTCATCACGAATATCTCAATGTTGATACCATCATTAACATTGTAACTACTTCTACTTCTCTGATGTTCCTCTGGATAATTTCGTTTACCTATTCAAATGTAGTGTAGCATGCAGTGCTCATATGTGCAGGTTCTACGTTGCTTAGGACTAACTGACAAAACAACCTTAACAAAAGTGAACAAAGAAATTAAGTTTAATTTTCTCCATGATTTGAACAATTGAAGATGTTATGATTGTTCATCAATATAATTGTCAATAAGAATAATGTTGTAAGAAGCTTGAACTTAAATGTGTTTTGTGTATTGAAATAGCTTTTTTGGAACAAGCACAATATATGTGTAGAAACTAAATAAAATTGTTACTTGTTTGTGAACAATTCATTAAACTAAGGACAGTATTCAAAATTAATAATCATTACTTTGTTAGGTGTTTTTCGAATGTTCATCTTAAAGTCTCAGACTAATATGTTACAGCAACGGGAAGCTATCTTGATGTTTTTTCTCCGTTCTTATACATGAACGTAACGTGATAACACTTTTGATGGAGATGCAGTGAGGTGGTCTGCGTTTTTCAACTTAGCTTCAGAAAAATTTCCTTAAATCTTGACTAGTATGATTAATTACACTTGTTTGTAAAAACAATATCATGAAAAATTCAGTTATTGAACAACTCTTACTTAGGCTTGTGACCAACCTCTTATGGAGGAGCATAGGCCACCCATCATCATTCTCCATCTAACTCTGTCCTGGGCAATCCTTTCCAGTTTTCCCCACTTACTATTCATCCTTTTAATATCTGCTTCCAATTCTCGATACAGTGTGTTCTTTGGTCTTCCTCTTTTCCGTTTCCCTTCAGGATTACATGTTGATGCTTGCCTCGTGATACAGTTCGGTGATTTCTATAATATATGTCCTATCCACCTTCAATGTCTTTCCCTAATTTCCTCTTCAACTGTAAGTTGATTTGTTTTCCCCCACAGTAGTTGGTTGCTGGTGATATCCAACCGACGGACATTGAGTATCTTGCTTAGACAATTGTTTATAAACACTTGTACTTTTTTGATAATAGTTGTAGTAGTTCTCCAAGTTTCAGCTTCAAAAATTTATATTGAAGATTTTAACTTCAAATAACTCTGAAAATGGCATATCTGAAGTAGTATTGATCAAATGGTCAATAGTTCAGTTTTGTCTTTCTCGGGTCTTTTTGTATCGATTCACTACCTAGTCATATGTGTGTCGTGTGACTTCAACTCACTCTATTCAGTCGGGTTGTCGCTGAGATTTGTTGAAAGTTGGTTCATTTTTATGATGGATTTGATCGTTTTTCTCAGTTCATTTAGTATTTAATGGATTATGTTACCTCACGACATTGATTTAATCAATAACTAAGCAAATTTCTGTATATTTGGATTATTTTATTGTGGATCATCTATTTTTATCTAGTTATTCAAGGTGAGTTAAATGAACCAATTTTTTGGGCTTATACTTAAAACCTTGAAAATCATTATTGTCTCTATCAATCTCATACCATTAGGGTTAAACGCTACGTTTTGGTATCTCGTAGATTTTAACACTTTGTCCATGTGAAAATTCGATAACGGTACTTTTTTTCTCTACTACACGAATTAGCCTCAACCGGAAGCATTCGCATTTGGAGAAAACTATGCATTTCTGTCAGTTGTTCATACAATTATTATTGCTTACACACCAGTGTGTCCAATCATCTACGTCTTTGGTTTAGTGTACTTTCTATTTAAATTTCTTATCGATAAGTTTATGCTTGTATGGATTTATGATCCGTTGCAATCAGATATATGTGGATGGACTGAAATGTTAGTTTCCTCACTGATTATGTATTTATTAAAATTGATTAGTTTCTTTGTTGGTTATGTTGTAAAATTAGATAAATGAATGTATCATTAATGATTATATGCGCATCGCCTTGTAAATGTTATCACTTTGTCTAGTGTAAGTCAAAAAACGTTTTGTTGTATTCTATAACAACTATCAAATATTTCACTTCACTTTCTTACCAACTCAATCCGTTAGCCGATTTGTATTATATAATTAGTTGGTCACTTATATGCAGTATAGAAACTGACATACACGTTAATCGGTCCAAGTTGTATTACCACATTAGCACAGGGCGATGTAATTATTTCAAGACAGAGTAGTAACAGTATCAGTAGTAGTAAGAAAAATTAGACGTTAAAAAAAGAAGATTCTAAAAATAAGACTGGGAGTGTAAGTGCCTGCGCCATTTCAAAGGACTCTGAGTCATGTCACACAAAGTCGCCAACCATTTGTTAGAATAATCATGCGGACTCCATCCAGGTGGTCTTCACCCATTATCATGGGTCAGTCCGTTTGTTTATAACTTCATGAATTGGTACTACACTTTATTTGACCTCCCCTAACTTTCTTCCAGCCACCTCGTACACCATAAATCATCGCTGGTCGAGGTTTGCTGTGTTTCGGCATAGACGATACATATCCCAACCACATCAGTCGAAAAGAATTCCATACGTCATCAACCGATTTTCGATTTCTACCTAGCACCTTTTCCCTTACTTCAACATTCCTCACTCCGTTATAGCACGATACGCAAACAATACTTTGAAGACACCAACATTGATGGAATGTCTTCTATTTTTAATGCTCATCCTTTACAGCCATGAAGTAGAATGGATCCATTTTCCGTGTAGTAAACTCATGCTTTAATTGGTAGACGAATGTTGCATCCACAACATAAGTAACGCGAGTTGGCAAGTTCAACAGAACCTTCTCGATTATTTAATTATGATAGAAGTGAATAGAGATTGAGGAATCCAAATTTAAACATTGGATATCTGGTTGTCTCAACTTGTTGATATAAAATAAACCGCAACCTTATTGCTTACTATTATTCAAATATCACGGCTACTTAAAAATAGTTTACGTAATACTTGGTTATGTAAAGTATTTATTCATAATGTTAGTTTAAAACGTATATGATATTTCATCTGCTTAATTCCTATTTATAATTCAAAGTAACACTCTGGATGTCCAGAGTTATACCGAGACGCATCAACCTCTGTTTTAAATAATCAATATTTTCTCCAACCACACGTTAAATAGTGTTTTTTGTCACTGGATTTTGTGTTTTTAAGATTTCAAAGTGAATACGTTAAAATGTAGTTTTATTCGTAAATGAATAGTATCTATGTTCTTACTTCTAAGTAATAGTCAGCGTTTTAAATAAAAAAACCTACTTTGGGATATAGCTGATTCTATGTCTCACTGATTTGTTGTTTTATAAAAGCTTACATCGTACTGATGAATGACATTTATAATATTATACATCATGTGATGGATTTAACGATGAATCTCAGTACTGTTTATCCTTAGTTTATTGTCTCGCATCCTTATGCTCGACCGTCACTTGTATAATTGTAGTTTTGGGACAGTTAACGTTAATGTCTGTTTGTGTATTTAATACTTATCACTACTAGCTTTTACCAAACACCACGATATAATGTAGTGTTGTTTTAATGCCGAATGCACACTGATCAATACTGTAGGTTAATCAGCTTAAGTTTATTTGTCACCTGATGACCAGATTGTGTAAATATTCCGGTTTTAGTAGTATTTCTGAACACAACTTAAAACAAAATAAATGTCGATTACAAATGAGTCTTTTTTGGAATTTCGAAGATACGCACTCTTTATGTATATAGTGCAAAACTTTCCTAGATATGCTTTTAATACATTTCCCATTCTAATGTACTACTATGTTGATTCACAATGTATGATTACATTCATCAATTGATGAAATTCAATTACCTATATTATTACTGTCTGTCACAAAAAAAATAGTCTTATATTATTTTAATATTGAAATGATTTGTGTGTAATTTTATTTGGTTTTTATTACAGAGACAAAAAGAACTATCAATATATTTATCATTTGAAATGGTTTCTTCAATCAGCTCGATTTAGTTTAACTGGAGTTTGTATGGCATCTATCAATGTGTTTGCTTTTTACTCACTACGATGGTCTTCTGTAGAATTACGCCCACTGATCATCGCCTATTTTGTTTTGACTATGGTTACGATAATAATATCTGTAATATTTTCTGCTTTTGTCAAATACCATTTATCTTCTCTTATATGCCCTGTTTCTGTATGCAGAAAATATTCCGGTCATTATCGTAAACTGATTGACTATAATCAAGTAAGACTTTTATACTAGTGTTTTTTCCGTAAAATATTTATTCATAAACTATCATCTATTTTTCCAAAGTGAACAAAATGGTGTTATTGTCGCTGATGTTGCCTTTGCTCAACTAGACCGCATAATTATGATGTCTTTATTGCATTGATATGCCGAATTCACCATTATGAATTTCTAAATGAATTAGTTTATATTGCTTACTCTATTGTCCCACTGACTCCTAGTCATAGTACTTGCGATTGGCTCTTCATGTCTTTGTTCTAAACTATTTTGATTCTTGTAATTTGACAACTAACCTATATGTGTATTTCCCCTTGACCCGGGTTTCGTGCTACTTGCCACTCGTCAGTAAGGTGTACCTGTAATCTTAAGGGAACTGGTGCCCCCTGACGGATTCGATCCCGTGTCACTCAGCTTCACAGTCAGAGACGTTACCACTGAGCTATTCGGGCCGCACTCGACCTCCTGTAAGACTGAGATGTAATCACAATTGATTGATCACTGGGTGGTGGTCAATGTCATGCAGGTCAAGTCCTTTATCTGTAATATCTACTTTCATTTTCCAATCCCTAACCCCCAAAAGCTAGGTGTTTATGGCTTTGAACTAAGTGAATAAATCTATATTTCATAAATGAGTTAATTTAAGTAAATAATCTAAAATATGATAAATTCTCGACGTAACTTGCTGTATGAATGTTGAAGGATGTTAGTTACCTGATAAAATGTAAGCAGAATGTTCTGAACCTGTGTAAAGTTATGTTGAAGGTGTTTTTGTTATTTACGAATTCTCATTAATTTATAATTCTATATGATGTATTTGGTATTCACTCACTTTACATTCTATAATCGGAATTTAGTGTAGCATTTCACAGTAGTAAATTTCTTACTACAATCACCAAGATTTTTCACTATATTCGTCTGTATATCAATATAATAGGTCGTTGGTAATTTGAGAAATTTTGTAATAATATTAGTCCTTTACATTCATATTGCATTAGGTGGTTGTTGGTGATTTATAATTTTTTTTATATTTTACGAGGAAAATATTTTTTTGGAATTTCGCTCAGTTCATAATGTTGTGACAGAATATTGAATATTTATCTTAATAAATTACTTTTATTAATTTATACTTATTTTAGAACGAAATGATCTCCAGCTCAATTATATGCACTTGCCCTAAATTATACCTTGATACTTCTATAACTGAAAAAGATTACACAATTCCTATTTTACGTAAGTTCAAATTGTGAGAAATTTCATATCTATCAAAGATACATTTTAGCAATCTTATAAACAGAAAAAAAAACAACTTTAAACTTCGGTTTTGGTTTTGATTATTACTTTTTGTATATTGAAATGTAATTTACCGTTACTTCTGCAAAAAGACCATACTGACTTCATTGTTATATTTCCAATATCTTATTATTTAATATTTTTTTTCCATATTGAACACAGAGTTAAAGGATTTAATCAAGTTGTATGAATATAGAACAATGATTTTTCCGATTATCAATCTTCTTATCTCTGTTAAATGGACATTGTTTTGACACTAAGATCAATAAGCCAACTGACACTTAAAAGATTTTATAATTTCTTAAGTTCTTTTAATAAGTGTAAAATCCACAATATATAATTCAAATGTATTTATCATAATCAATCGAGAAAATCAAGTTACATACGCATATATACATATATTAGTGAGGGTATGATAGTTTTCAGTATGGGATGATCGAGCAATATCATGGATTGATTGAAGTTAGACATTAAAACCGCTGTATGCCAGCTCAGTGGTTCATAGGTTAAGTGTTCTCCCTGGAGATCAATGGTCCTGAGTTCGTGTTCCGCATGTGTGATAGTGGATGTGCACTGTTTATGGGTCCCGTACTAAAATGAAATGGCCATTCAGTGATTCTGGGTTTTCAGCGGTAGTCTCACCTAGATCGGTTCATGATTTCAACTATTACCACTACTACAGTCTCTATAAGTACTTAATTACTTACCTACGCCTGTTACTCCCAATGGAGCATAGACCGCCGATCAGCATTCTCCAACCCACTCTGTCCTGAACCTTCCTTCCTAGTTCTATCCAATTTTTGTTCATTCTCATGTCTGTTTCTATTTCTCGGCGCAATGTGCTCTCTGGTCTTCCTCTCTTCATTTGGCCTTCATGAGTCCGTATTAAGGCTTGTCTTGTGACGCAGTTGAGTGCTTTTCTCAATGTGTGTCTTATCCACTTTCAGCGCTTCTTTCTCCGCTGGATGGAATCTGGTTTGTTCTCTCTCACAGCAACTTGTTGCTGATAATGTCTAGCCAGCGAATCCGAAGTATTTTGCGTAGACAACTGTTGATAAACACCTGTATCTTCTGGATGATGGCCTTCTTAGTCCTCCAGGTTTCGGCCCCATACAGTAGAACTTATAGCAACCATCCTACAATCACTTTCGATTATAGCCAATTTTGGTTAAGCCCTTTTTTATAACTTACTTAACAGACATCGTCATTTGGATAATAACAATTTGCATATTCTTTGCACTGCTATAACACTAGAGCACATGACACTCTAGCCGAAATGTTGACTGCTTAAATATCATTCGATAACTCATACTCCTCCCCGTATATGTACGCACACAAATATTATTATCAGCCTTTGTTTTGCTTTGCTGTGCCCTTATTAAATTTGAATATAAATTGCCTATGTAATTGCTTGCTATTTGCTCGCTTGCTCCTCGTTCGTTTCCTTCGCTTGTTCGCCTGTTCACTCGCTCGTTGATATTCGCTCAGGTGTTGTTATCTTTCGAACCTGAGTCATTCGACAATAAACTGTAGTTGCTGCTATCCTTTGTCTTCTGATTTTACGCACCGTTAAGTTTAGAATTATAACGGTTATCGAAGTAAACGGTTGACGAATCGCGGCACTACAAACTGTCTTGACATTTGTATTGAAAATTCTGATGTTGGTGTTGGTTGACAGGCAGTTGTTTTGAGTTCCAGATGTTCTTCAATTGTAAATATGCTGCTCTTGCTTTGCCGATCCGCATCTTCACATCTGCATCAGATCCACCGTGTTTATCAATGATGCTGCCCAGATATGTAAAGGTTGTTACATTATCCAAAGCTTCTCCATCAAGTGTAATTCGATTGGTGCATAATGTGTTGTATCGGAGTGTTACGTCCTTGATTTGTCTACCCACTTTCGTGCCGAGGATAACTTGTCTAGTGTAGATTAAGACCTTGACACAATAGGCTCACTGGCTTAACCTTGAGGCCAGTATGCGTGAGTTCGAAGTGGGGTAGAGACGAAAACTATCCTATCACATGATTGGCTGACAGTCACACACGAGAAAGAAGACAAGACAACTGGAACAGTACTCGCTTTATTCCAGGTTCCGATCTGGCACTCATTTCGGATTAGTGTAGAAAGATACATGAATAAATAGATGACTAACTCGACCACAACGTACAACAATCAGGAAAATACTATTATATCGAAAACTGGGGAATTAAAGTAGAAAATAGAGTACAAAAGATTACGTCTAAATTACAATAGCTTTGAAACAGAAAAGACTATGGCAGTGAATCCTACATCAAACGAAATTTTATGATCTGTAGAATAGACTAGGGACAAAATTAAGTGCTACTGTTTTACAAGCTTTAAATCAAATGAAATAACGTCCCCAAAAACAGTCAGATCATCTGCGAAGTCTAAATCGTCCAGCTGCATCCTAACTGTCCATTGTATCTCGTGCTTTCCTCCAGGTGTTGTCGTCTTCATAATCCAGTCGACCACCAGGAGAAAGAGGAAGGGTGAGAGTAAGCAACCTTGTCTGACACCGGTCTTTACCTCGAATGAGTCGGTGAGTTGTCCTCCATGGATGATTTGGCAGTTTAGTCCATCATAGGAATGTCCTATGATATTGACTATCTTCTCAGGCACGCCGTAGTGTTGTCCTGTCCACGCTATCAAACGCTTTCTCGTAATCAATGAAGTTGATGTAGAGTGATGAATTCTATTCAATTAACTGTTCCACAATGATCTGGTCTGTACATAATCGATCTTTACGGAATCCAGCCTGTTGGTCTCGAAGTTTGGCGTCTACGGAGTCCTTCATTCTGTTTAACAATGCCCTGTTGAAGACTTTTCCTGGTATTGAGAGAAGAGTGATGCCTCTGTAGTTATAACACTTGCTGCGATCGCCTTTCTCTGGTATTTTGATCGGAAGTCGTTCTTTCCAGTCTGCTGGTACTTGTTCTCCATCCCAAATCTTACTGAAGAGAATGTGGAGTATCTTTGCAGTTACTGTCACATCTGCTTTCAGTGCCTCTGTCGGGATGTTGTCTGGTCCCGCTGCTTTGCCGCTCTTGATTTGTCTGATGGCCATGCTGATCTCTTCAATTGTTGGTGGGCCAACATCGATTGGGAGGTCCGTGCTTGCCGCTTTGATGTTGGGTGGGTTCAGTGGAGCTGGTCGATTCAAGAGTTCTTTGAAGTGTTCTACCCACCTGTTTCGTTGTTCTTCAATGTCGGTGATTGCCTTGCCTTCCTTGCTTTTCACTGGTCTTTCTGGTTTACGATGATTTCCAGCGGGTTTCTTCGTTGTGTCATACAGTTGTCTCATGCGTCCTTCTCTCTCAGCCTTTTCCGCCGTCGTTGCTAGATCCTCCACATGTTTACGTTTGTCGGTTCTGACGCTCTTCTTCACTCGCTTGTTTACTTCTGTGTATTCAGCTTGTGCCTTGGTTTTTTTCTGCTATTGTTCGGCAGATATTGATCGCTGTCCTCTTAATTCTCCGCTCTTGAATCTTATCCAGTATATCAACAGTAATCCATTCCTTGTGATGGTGCTTCTTGTGGCCCAGAACCTTCTGACATATTGAAATGATTGCATCTTTTATCCCTTTCCAAATGCTCTCCATAGTAGTTCCCTCTCCATTGAGTGGATCATGAAAGGCCTGAAACCTATTGCTGAGGGCTATGTTGAATTTGTTGAGTTTGTTAGTATCCCGAAGGAAAGCCGTATTAAACTTTTGTGATGTTGTCCGTCCCGTTGTCCAATGCTTCTTAAGTTTTAATTTCATCTTGGTGACCAGCAAATGATGATCTGATGCTATACCAGCTCCTCTCCTGGTTCTCACATCCTCTATCGTCCTCCCGAACTTTTTGTTGATGCAGATATAGTCGACTTGTTTCTGCTTTGTGTGGTCCGGTGAAGTCCATTTGGTTTTGTGTACGCGTTTGTGTGGATATATAGTGCCGCCTACGACCAGTTTATTGAAGGCACATAGGTTTGCAAATCTCTCACCATTTTCGTTCCTTTCTCCCAGTCAGTCCATGTCGTTCCATGACGTCTTCGTATACAGTGTTGTCCATTCCAACATTGGCATTGAGACGTCCCATCAGAATGGTCAGGTCCTTTGTTGGGCACTTATCGACGATCGGCTGCAGCCTATCGTAGAATTGGTCTTTAACGTCTTCATTGTAGTCGTTGGTAGGCGCATAGCATTGGATGACGTTCATTGTAATGCCCTCTCTCTTTGTTTTGGAGGAGGCTTTGATGATACTTGGTCCATGAGATTCCTATCCTATAAGTGCTTTCTGTGCTTGTTTGGATAGTATCAGTGCAATTCCTTGTGTAATTGGAGCATTTTCTTTTTCATGACCGGAATATATCAGTAGCCCCCTTGAAGGTAGTCTTTGTTGTGCAACCTGCGTCCAATGTGTTTCACTGACTCAAAGTGGCCCCAGGTTTTATTTCCTCATTTCTGCATCAATTCGGAAGACTCTTCCGGTCTCCTACATTGTCAGGACGTCCCATGTACCTACAAAAATTGTTTCTCTGGTTGTTAGAAGTGGCATCGTCCTCATGACTTCCGAAGGAACTCGGCTTTCATCATGAGACGTCATAATTATTCCTTCAACTCGGAGGGCAGAGTTTAAATGGTTTGAATAAGTTTTCCTAGTTGGAGTTTTTTTAGCGAGTTAGTTTTCTACGGGATGGAGTCGCTAACCCCATGCCCAACCCTCCTCCTTTACCCGGGCTGGGTACCGGCAGTAGTCTCAGGATGGGTTAATCCTCATAAGTAATCATAGTGATAATTTCGTAGTCAGTAATGTTATCAAATTTAAATTATATTATTGATAATAGCCAATGGTTTTAGAACTGGATAGAAAAATTCATGATGTTTTACCCTAGTTGGTTAGTTTGTTGTTTCTTGACGTTAACTGTTTTGTGGGGATGTGTGCTATAATGGGGTCTAAGCCGAATCTAAAAAAAGGAGGGAAGATTGTATTCGACTACGAGTTATCTTTTTCTTTTATTCCTCCCTGTATTTACTCACAATTTTTTCAAATTTTTCAGGTGTGTAATTATGTTAATAAAGTATGTACATATACTAAAATTGATCTGGTATTAAGGTCTAAGTCGATATTAATGCACTTATCTATGTTACTGGAATTGTAGACGGGGGTTAGTATTATGGACTTACTAATGATATGACTACCTAAACTAAAGGGTCTTTCGTTGATCTCACGTCACTTTTTATGCTGACTCATCCTAACGTGACAGTCAGTAGCATTATTTTGAAAACTTTTAGTAAATATCTACTAGGCTGGCAGTGTCATAATATATTTAATACGCAAAGAATAAATCTACTGCGTGGTCAATTATGGTCGTGAAGTCCTGATTATGTGTCCCTGCGTTGATCCACTGACCCTGAATAAGTGTTTAACGGCTAATGTAAACCATGGTTTAGCTTGAAGGGTCGTGTCATCAGGAGCCAATTTCACTACAAACTAGTGCTTTGACTCTCATCTTTGTTTTTCTTAGCATTGATTTTCGGCAGTTGCCGTCTTAGATTACTAAACTCCGGACGTACCTGTGTGAACAGATTGCTTTTTTCCTATCCCAGTGAGACTTGAATGCGTTTTTTGTGCTGATTTCATAATTCAGCTGTCTATTTTACTCCTCGATTCGATGGAGATTGTCAGACCATAGCGATTTATGTATATTGTGGCGTCTCGTAGAAAG